ACTGACCAACACCTGTACAACTGACCTCAACATCTGTAAAACTGACCTCAACATCTGTACAACTGACCAACATCTGTAAAGCTGACAGAGTTGTGGTCGTGTGCACTGCAGAAGTTACCCAGTTGTTGACGTGCACTGCAGAAGTTACTCAGTTGTTGACGTGCACTGCAGAAGTTACCCAGTTGTTGACGTGCACTGCAGAAGTTACTCAGTTGTTGACGTGCACTGAGCGGTGCGCTCCTCAGTTTTCAGGCGTGTGCACATTTTGCTAACAGACAAACCGGGTTGACTCCAACAGTTCATGCTAAAGTTTCGAGCTAGCATCTTAAGCAGCGAGCAGCACTCGGTCTAATGACTCTCAGCTACTACCAAACCAGATGTTAGTCCAACAACTTTAGACACTGACTTATAACCATTTTATGTTGGTAGTCTTGTCCTGTGGTTGGTGGGATATTTTGCTAACAGAGTTGACTCCAAATTAAAGCCTATGTATACTGTATGTTGTGCAGTGTGTTAGTGTGTGTGTTAGTGTGTGTTGGGGTGAACCTCGGCTACACCGCCTCAAGTTTCAGGTCAGAATCTGTAAAATGAACAGATTTTTTGTCTCGTTGTGTTTTTAGGGTTGGTTGGCCGTGGCGGCCATCTTGAATTAGGTATAGTTGAACTGTGAACCAGACACTGACAGAAACATTATCATCCGCCTGTTGGCTGCGAGTTGACACAAGTCAGAGCAGTTTGAGGCTCCACTCTGGCGTTTCGTTGTATGGAAGTGCGTTAGCGACAGGTGGTCATTGTGTTGCGTGTGCTGACGTGTGTGTGGGCGGAGCCTACGTCAGCACAGAGGCCAGAACTGATCGCCTGACCACAAGACGTCCAACAATGGTGTGAAAAGAAGCTCCTGCGGGCGCCAGCCGTCGGCTCAGAGGCACAAAGGAGATCAGCGTGTTCAGGGTTAGCAGCTGGAGCGTGGCCTCCCTCCACCCCTCCTCCACCCTGACAGCCAGGGACGCCCGGGCGGTGCTCAGGGACTTCCACCCAGACGGAGGAATTCCATCAAGTTTCTTTTCTGCACGTGTTGAACATTGATTGAATTCTCTGCAGATCGGTGTTTGAATTTAACACGTCTGCTTCTCGTTGCAGGTTGACTTTGACCAGTTCAAGGACGCTCTTATACTGGTCCTGTCGTCGACCATCGACCCTCCTCCAGCAGAGCACGAATCCTTCAGAACATCAGGTGAAGTCCTCAGCTTTTAGGTTTCACTGTTTGTAAGATGCCTTCAGTCTGTTTGTTCCGTTTGTCCCTCGTCACAGAGAAAAGAGCTGGAATTTAAAAAAGTCCATCCGTCCGTGCACGTTGTGAGCGTGATCCAGTAAAGGTCAGTCAGGTCACCTGGACAGTTTCTTTTTTTGTTGTTGAAAGATGTTTCGCCCTCCATCCGAAGGGCTTCATCAGTCTGAGGAGTCACAAGTAAACTGTTTCCCCACCAAGCAGTACACTCCGTTAGTGGACCAGCCAGTTTGCTGGTGATACTGGTTTCTGGGGGCTGTCCTCTCCCCCGTCAGTTCCTCACAGGCAGCCACAGCCCAAGTGGTTCAAGACATCAAAGTTCATGCTCAATCATCCAGGTAAAAGAAACTTACCTGGATGATTGAGCATGAACTTTGATGTTTGGGAGCATAACTTAAAAATAAGTTTGGTGCCGACTTCCGTTCAGGAGCGTCACTGTTGGAAACTGGGCTGCCACGTCAAAATTCAAGATGGCTGCCACCATAAATGTAAACTGACCACCCCCATCAATTGAGGAAACTGTTTTTAGTTTTTATATTGTCTGAAAATATGTTTCCTCAAACGATTGGGGTGGTCAAAGATGACTCTGTGGTGGTCAAGGCCACCATTGGCCACCCCCTGGCTCCACCACTGCTCGTGGTGGTGGATTAAACTGCTTCCTCCACCAGGATCCGTCACTCTTTAAGGGTTTTAAACGTTTTTCTCAAAGGAAAACCTGTTTCTAAGGTTCACAATATAAACGTTGTCCAACCGTCGAGTCGGTTGAAGTGTCACCCAGCCCACGCCCGAGCGCAGCGTCCACGTGTTTCTGTCGTTTGTATCAAGTTTATTTTGAACTTGGAGTCGTCCGAGCCTTGAAGGTGGCCGTGAGGGTGGAGGTGGAACGACCTGCATGCTCGGAGGGAGCCGCCGGCGCCGTCTCCACCGCCTGCTTCACGAGCTCCATGGCTGTCTGACGTTGATCTGGTCGTTTGTTCTTCTTAATGGTTTTCAGTGGTAAATGTCTTACTGGTCGTGTTTATCGAAGAGCCACCGTAAACACAAACATTTACAACAAATCTCTAAAGATCATTCAGCTCCTGATTCTTTTGTTCTTCTGCTTGGAGAAAATATTTAGTTTCTCATTTCAGGTTTATTTGAGGATTCTTAGAAACACCTCTGGACTTTTAGGATAAACTCTTGAGGAGTTTGTTGAGAACTTGGTGCAGCGTCGGTGTCGACTCACGGCTGGTTCAACAACATGATCACCCACCGTCGCCTCTCTGCGGCGGGCGATAACGGCTCGTTGTTTTATTCCCACAGGGGGGTCTCCTGAGATCCAGCCGAAGTTTGTGAAGGGGGGAAAACGCTACGGTCGGCGCTCCACGCCCGAGTTCATGGAGCCTGATCTGTGCGACGTTCCAGCCCTGAACCCGGGCGACGACCTGGACCTGGAGGACAACGATGACTCGGCTGTTCCCAGGAAGCGTGAGGTAAAAGGCTTAGAGTTCTTCCTGCGTCACGCTGAGCACCCAGACGGACTCGTGCCGGTCTTATCGCCTCCTGTCCTTGGCTGCTCTGCAGCTCCGCAGCCAGGAGCTAATCAGCTTATGCTCCTCGGCTGATCCTTGGAGGGAGAGATGTTTGCTGCGGAGCACGTGGTGACCATGAAGGCTTGTGGCGCGTCTCTGCGCTGACTCCATGCTGGAGGGTTTGTTTTCCGATTTGTAGTGGTGGTTTGAACTTCAGGGCCACCGTAGCTTTGAGATCCATGGAGCCACTTGGCCTCTACGTTTACAGAACGTTCACACCTCCTTCTAACAGCAGCACATCTGGAGACGTTCTCGACTCCGGGTGCGTCTCGTGGGCCCGGACCCAGCGCACACTTTGGATTCAAACATGCGTCACATGATGTGGAGATTTGTTTATTTTTATTTTGAAGCAAAAATACTATTATTTTTATTTGAGTTCTAAAAGATAAAAAGGTTGGGGGAGTGGTGGCACAGAGGTTCGAGAAGGTGGGGCTGTGATCGGAAGGTCGCTGGCTCAACTCCCTGAACCGACAGCGTCAATATGTGGGTGTTAAAGGTGAAGCACCCCCACCTGCCTCCACCCTCATCCCCCCTCACCCTCCTCTCCCCCATTATCCCCCAAATGAGCTATTTATCTCCAGTTCTTTTCATTTGAAAGGGACAGAACGGAGTTTGTTTGTCTCCACTTTTCCTGCACTCGGGACCAGTTCTACGAGCGTTCGTGATCAGCTTTAATTAAAATAATGTTTCTGTTAGATCAAAGATCAAAGCTGGGGTTTGTTTTTATGTTTGTTTAATCATAGCTCTTAGAACATATTTTAACATGGTTTTCTTTTATAAACAATAATTTTTCACGTCTCTTAGACATTTCGTGATTTTGACACTTGACTTTTCGTCTTCTTGAGTCTTTAACCGACCCACGCTTGATGGCTGCCATTGATTAGCTGCGGCGGCCATCTTGACTTGTGTTGACTCCGGGAGTTGCTCCGTTCTCGATGTTCCTCCAGTGATCACGTTTTGAGTTTAATGAGCATGTGCTCAGTGGTTCATTAGATATTTTACTAACAAACGAATCACGGACAGATTTGGATGAAAGCCTTCGTGGTCTGCTGTGTTCCTTCCGGGGGGGTTATGAGGTTTCCCAGCTCCACCTTCACCTGCTGCAGCGTCTGGTTGTTGTGGGTCTGGTCCGTCCAGATGCTCATCAGATGAGAACTTCAGAACCGATGTGTGTCTCGGTGTTAACTAATGTGGACCAGAACAATGTGGCGCAGCAGATGGGCCGGGTCGGGGGCTGCAGAGCCGGTGAACAATGAGCCTCCCCGCCCCCTGGATGCCTTCACTCCATGTCTCCAAACGCCACGTTCACAACCATCTGCTCCTCAAACAAAAGCTGGACTGTGGGACTGGAGCGGGTCAAGAGTTCTTGACGGTCTGATGATCAACAAACGTGAAGAACGATCCCTGGATTTTCTTCTGTGCGTGGAAAAAGAAACGCATCAAAAACCGTTGACGTGTTTTCAGTCACTTCCACAGGTGAACAACACCTGGGGTCGATGGCGGCCGTCACAAATGCTTCATTTCCTTACGACTGTGGTTCTTCAAACTTTTGTACAGTTCATGCATCAAAATGTAACTTTTTTCAGCTTAGATTTGTATAAAACTGTTGGAGCGTGTGCGAGCAGCTTCATGGACGCCTTCGTTTTCTAGTTTTAACTCCGTTAGTTTTTTCTTCCGGCAGCGCTGGAACGCTCGTGGATCGAGCTCGGAGGAGTATGAAGCAGAAGGTGCGTCCAGGCCCAGGTGTGTTCTCACCTTTCTTTGGACGCAGATGGTTGTCAGCAGTAACCCACCTCCCGTGTGCAGGTCAGATGCATCTGTGGAACCCCGACGAACCGAGCGCACCCCGGGGATCCGCCGCTTCTCTGTCGGGGAGGTTGGAAGAGCGGCTGCGCGAGGCGTGCGACGAGCTGGCCATCGCGTGGGACGGCCGTGCCGCTCGCGACGACCTGCTGACGCTCTGCGAACATCTGGACCTGCAGGTGCCGCACAAGTTTTACACCGATTCTGAGCTGTTTGGCAGATCCCTTCTGCACCGATAGGTGTTTATCACCGAACGGCTCCATGCAGATGTAGTTTACTGGTTGTTTACTGGTTGTTTACTGGTAGTTTACTGGTTATTGACTGGTTGTTTACTGGTTGTTTACTGGTTGTTTGCTGGTTATTTGTGCGAAGGCATACTTTTTTTTAAATTTAAATACTTTGGCAGACTTAGTGCTTTTTTTTTAACCATTCATGCATCAAAATGTTTTGCTTTTACACGATGGGTGACTTTTGATTTTTGTACCTTTTTTTTTTTTTTTACTTTAAAAAATATTACATTTTTGCTACGTTATTTTAACTTTTAACTAGCTTTTTTGTTTCTGTAAAACTAGTTTTATTTTTTAACAGGTATCAAGCCTTTTGCTACTTTTATCTGATTTTATTTTGTTTGTTCCTTTAGCTTTTAGCCAGCTGTTTGTTCCTTTAGCTTTTAGCCAGCTGTTTGTTCCTTTAGCTTTTAGCCAGCTGTTTGTTTCTCTTAGCTTTTAGCCAGCTGTTTGTTTCTCTTAGCTTTTAGCCAGCTGTTTGTTCCTTTAGCTTTTAGCCAGCTGTTTGTTGCTTTAAGCTAGCCGTTTGTTTCCTTTTTAGGTAAGCTTTTGTTAGATGTAACTTTTCGTTTGTCTTTTGCTACTTTTAGCATTTGGGTAAATGTTTTTTGTTTTTAACTAGCATTTAGCTGCTTTTAGCTAGTTGTTTCTGCTTGAACTCATTTTGTTCATTAAAGTAAATCATCATTGAACTGAATTTCTGCAGAAGAGGTTGTTTCTCTGGTTCTGGGCTTCATGTCTCTAGTTCTTCGTTCCCCTGCAGTTGTAATTGTCTGTAACTCACTCTTTGGCAGTAAATGATCAGTTCACCTCTGAAGTAAAAATCCAGCCAACGTTCTTGTTTTTCCAGCTGAATGGAGACGTGCTCCTCAGTCTCAGCAGTGATGGAGCGTTGAACGTTCAGGATTTTGTTTCCTTGATTCTAAACCACAACAAGCCTCCGACGCCGTCGGCCTCCACGCCGTACAGGCAGCTGAAACGCCAGCACTCCACGCAGGTAACACCTGGAGTTATTTCATGTCCCTTTGTCGTTTCAACATGAGCTTAAAGGAATGTTCAACCTGCAGCCGTTTGACGAGGAAGGCCGCAGGAGCTCGGCGATGCCCAGCACTATCGGCGTGCGTCTCTTCTCTTTGCTCGACGATGGATCGGGCTTCACTCAGACCGAGTCCATCCTGGACGTCTGGACAGAGGAGGGGATCGAAAACAGCGCTGAGATTCTGCAGGTAGACCACCGCCCGTCCAACTCCCCGTAGTATGCAAACTGAGAAGTTTTTATTTATTTATCTATTTATTTGTTTATTTTTTATTGCTTTGCACAAAGCAGAGGAATTTTTAGGGGAAACACAAAACATTCTTGCGTACTTTTTTTTTTTTTTTTTTCCAGGCTTTGAATTTTGACGTGGAAGGGAAACTGAGTCTCGGTGATCTAACCGCAGCACTTGAAAATGAACTACTCGTCACCAAGAACGTCATTTTCCAAGCAGCACTGGCCAGTTTCAAAGCTGAGATCAGACATCTCCGGTGAGTTGGACTCCTTCTGATCCTAATACCATCAGTCAAAGTATCTGAATCGATTCCAAACTGTTTGATCATCAGAATTCTAGGAGTACTGACAAATGCTGAGTCAGCACTCGCACTATTTTCTTGTTTAAAGTTTATTTCATATATTTTTTGAAAATCAGACTACTTCAGCATACTTATCTCTATATTAACTGTTTATATTAGGGCTGCACCATATATCAAAAGTTTACTTTCACATTATCAGAGTGACTGGACTGTGAGAAATCATAGATCATTATATTTTATATTCCTTGTTGCCTTTATGCTCTACAGGCCAAGCATAAACTTGGTCAATCAACAAACTCTTACCAGCCTTGATGGTTTAAATGATGATAATGGTTTGAGGAGAAAGTGAAGAGAAGGTCACAAATCCACCTCCATGACTGCATGATGTTAAACAAGTGAGGACCAAGGATGGACCCTTGTGGAACACCACATGTGACTTTGTTTAGCTCAGATTTTTAAAAACTCATAGCAAAGTTCCTGTCCACCTGGTAGAATTTAAGCCAGTTTAATGCTGTGTCAGAAATACCAACCCAGTTTTCTGATAGACAGAAAAATCTGTCTTTGTCACAATTATCATCATTACAACATTAAACGATAATATCACAGATTACACGTTTATTTTAATACTGTGCAGCCCTACTTTATGTACCAAAATGTTCAGCTCAATCAGGAATAGTGTACTATGGCCTTTTCTTTACCCACTTGTCCTATATCCTTAGGGACACTTTTTAGTTAGCGGTTAGCCTAACATGCATGTTTCTGATCTGTGGGGGGAAACCGGAGCTCCCGACGTAAACCCACGTGTGCACGAGGAGAACATGGAAACTCCACACACTGCTCTGTTCTACTACCCCCACTTCCCAAACTGTTAAGTTTATTAAAAATATAATTCTTTATATAAATATGTTACAATTTCTTCAGAAACTTTGTCTTTTTCTGTAAATTTGCTCTATTTTGTCTTCTGGCATTTAGGTACCATTTTTACCTTTTTAGCTACTGTTTTGCTACTTTCAAGTGCTATTTTGATTATTTTAGCTTCCATCTACCGTTTTTACTACTTTGAGCTTTTAGCACGTTTTGCTACTTGGCTGCTTTTAGCTACGGTTTTTCCTATTTCAGCTACGATTTTACTTGTTTTGGCTGTAAGCAACATTTTCCTACTTTTAGCTTACCGTTTGTTGTGCTAGATTTTGTTTGATTTCATGTTATGATGCTTTGTTTATGCTCTGTTTGTTTGTTGTCTTCTCAGAGAGCGTGTTGACCAAGAAGTCAGAGAGAAAGAAAAAGTCCAGTTTGTCTTGGAGAGAGCCGAGAAGCAGAAATCTCAGCTCGCCGCGGAGGTGGACGAGCATCACTCGGCCATCGAACACACGAATAACGTCAATCTCCGGTAATTATCCTTCTGTTTGTTCTGTTTATATTATATACTAAACTGTTATACTTTTTTATTATTTTAAAAGAGACATTTAACTATGGGGAATGTTTAGACCTGACTTCAACATGTATAGTATTTTATTTATTTTTTCTGGTCTAGTTTTATTTCTGTCTCTGCAGTAACCAGGTCCAGATCCTACCTGGTAGACGAGCTTCTTTGAGTTAAAGAGTCAATATAAATCTGAGCTCAAACTTTAGAAAACAACAAAATAAACTATAATTTCTATGCAGATGATGCACAGATCTACATCGCCCACTCAGCCGGGGCCACATGTCTGAAAGTGTGCAGCTTTTAAACTGAAAGTTGTCGTAAGGACAAAATGAGAAAAGTGCGAAGGCACAGAAATGTTCAGACTTTTCAAACCCGTGAGACTCCTCCCCTGACACGCCCCTATTTAAATATGTAAACGAGATGCACGTATGTAATTTTCCTCTGCACGATCAAAAATTATGTCTAGATGCAGGAAAATGATGAATTTAATGGAATGTGAGTCGGAGACCTCCTCAATAAGTAGTGGGGCATAAAACATGTCTGCCACTCGTGTACAAAGAGGAGTTATGGTGTGTCAAGGTTCATGGTTGTCATTTTGGGGGGGGGGGGGGGCTGATCTGCCATCGCCGCACTTCTGAGTCCGAGTCATTGTTTAACTACTGTACTTGCTGCCGTACACGTTGCACTGCAGTATAATTCGCATCAGTCCAAATGTGTCTAATAAAGTGGAAATAAACTTAAAAATGTCGCTTCGTCGTATGAGTCGCATCTATTTTGCGTCACCGCTGACAACCTGGAAACATGGGCCGGTGTTGTGCCAAAAATCGAATGGCTGCCAAATTGCGGCCATGGGAGCGTGCACAGGAGGACTTTAACAAGAATTTAACAAGATTAACACTTAAAAACAATTATTTGTTTGCTTGAAATTCTAGTAAAAGTGTGTCTCAGTCTAACTTTTCCTTAGTAAATGCACTTTGATGGTCAAATCAGCTGCGTTTCTCCTGGGCGGCGAAATGCAGCTGATTTGACGTTTGCTCCGGGAGTTCCAGAGCGAGACGAAGGTGGCTTGGTATGGCAAGCAAAGTGTCTCATTAATAGCCACTTTTACTTGTTAATGAGACACTTGGCTTGCCATATTAGTTGAGGGCCCTCTAGTGGCTGAAAATGGAAGTGTTCATTGTTTTCCATGTCAAAATGAAGGAAATCGTCAGATCGCAGCCAAAAATTGGTTATAAATATGGAAAAAAATCATAAATGTGTCGCAGGCATGCTAATTTATGCAAAAAATACTGACTTGTACAGCAAAAAATACGGTTGTTTTAATTACAAAATTACTGTAAACACAGTTGCACTCATGTGCTTGGTAGGGTTCAGAGCTTTATTTATTAAAAAGCTGATCTTCCTTAATATTTTATGAAATGTTCTTTCTTTGAACGTCTTAAATTTTTATTGTTCTATAAGCTTTTATTGTTCTTCTGCACTTTGTCACAGTGTTTTTAGATTTTCATGTAAAGCCCTTCGAGTTGCCTTGTTGCTGAAACGAGCAATAAAAATAAAGCCGCCTTCTTTAGCTCGTTCTCCTTTTAGTGTGGATTTTTAGGGATGAAGCTCAAAGGGATTAGAGTTGTGATCTTGGTTAATCTCACTCATTCACAGATGATCCTTGTGGTGTTGAGCTTTCACTTTACATTCACACATTAACGTCAGCTGCTGTCGTCTTACTTTTATTATTTATTTTTGGAAATGGTTCCTTGAAGTTCCTTGAGGGAATGCAAGGCCTTGAGTTTTGTCGGCGCTCTCCTCATGAATGTGTGCAGGAAGCTGGAGCAGGACTACAAGGAGAAGCTAGCAGCGGTCCGGTCAGAGCTGGTGAAGGAGATGGAGCAGCTCCAGCAGCAGGCGGTCCTGCAGCGTGAGGAGCTGGGAGCAGAGATGGAGAAGATCAGGGAGGACGACGCTCTCCTCCGACACCACCTCTCCGTCTCAGTCAATGTACGAAAACAGCTGCAATTTTGTTTAATGATGTGATCAACGTTGGAGTCAGTGTAAAGTTTCTGCTCTACATCCTCGTGTAGCTCCAAGGTTTTTATGTGAATCCTGATTCAGCGTTTAGTTTTCCTCTTCGTACTCTTAAGTGAAGCGTCTCGGTGAGCTTCAGCGCATCCTCTTCCTTTTAGCTTCTGAAACTCAGTTTTAGCCGTTTCAGCTCTCGGCGTTCACTTTTCATTTTCACAGAAAATGTAATTTCTCTCATGTAATTTTTCCAGTTTTCACCTCAAGCCGGTCTTGTACGTTTGTCCGTGCTCTGTTTTCATTTCTCGTCGCAGTCGATCACGTCCGTTCTTCTTCCCTGGAGAATGATCGGGATCCGTTTGTTACATTTGTGTTTCAGGAGAACCGGCGTCTTGAGGTGGACTTACTGGACTGCACTGAGAAACTAGCCGAAGCACGAAGTCACATGAGCGCCCTGCAGACCAACTTGGAGAACATCATGAAGGACAAGGTACTCAGATGTTTTGCCTTCATAAGATGGAGACCTTCTGTGGTGGTCCCTTTTTATTCTTTTACAGGACTGAACGCTGTTCAGGTGTTTACCTGTTTATTGTCTTCCTGCTTTTTATTCTTTAGTTTGTCGTCTAGTTTAGTAAATGTTACTTTTTATTCATAAATTATGTTCAGCTCGTTCAGGAGACGGGGGTTTATAATTTTTGGGTTTTACGCTTAAAAAAAACCCAAACTGAACATTTAAAAAAACATTTCCCATAAAAACACGTTGAGCTCTCATCACGACCTTCAAAGATCTTCTCTTTTAAATTCAGTTTACTTCTATTTTAGTCTTTTTATTCATCTTTAGCTAGTGTTTGCTCTTTTCAGCTTTAAACCAACATTCTGCTACTTTTAGCTTGTAGCTAGCCTTTTGCTACTTTTGTAATTCTCTACTGTTCTGCTACTTTTAGCTTTGTTTTAGCTAGACTTTTGATACTTTTAGTTTGTAGTTACTATTTAGATACTTTAAGCTTCTTGCTACTATTTTGCTTTAAGTTAGCCTTCTGCTGCTTTTAGCTAAATATCTGGTACTTTTATCTTTAATATACTTTTTCTACTTTTAGCTAAGTTTTGATTATTTTAGCAACCTGTTGTTATTTAGCTTTTTAGCTAGCCTTCTGGTATTTTTCACTAGCTTTTTGCTACTTTTATAATTTTCTACTGTTCTACTACTTTTAGCTTTGTTTTAGCTGGACTTTTGAAACTTTTAGTTTGTACCGGTTACTATTTAGAGATCTTTAGGCTTTTTGCTACATTTTTGCTATTTTTAGCTTTTAGCTAGCCTGTCGTCTAATCTGCTCTGCTGTTTGTAGCTAAATATCTGGTACTTTTAGCTTTAAGATACTTTTGCTACTTTTAGCTAGCCTTCTGGTATTTTTCACTAGCTTTTTGCTACTTTTATAATTTTCTACTGTTCTGGTACTTTTCGCTTTGTTTTAGCTGGACTTTTGATACTTTTAGTTTGTACCGGTTACTATTTAGAGATACTTTAGGCTTTTTGCTACTTTTTTGCTCTTTTTAGCTTTTAGCTAGCCTGCTGTTCAATCTGTTTGGCTGTTTTTAAGCTAATATTTGCCGCTTTTAGCTTTAAGCTGGCGGTTTGCTTCTTTACCTTTTGATATGTTGTAACTTTTTCCTTCTTGGTTTCATTTAGTTTTATCCCAAACAAAAAGTTTTTTCCTTCTGTGTGATCTGGTCCAGTTTGGAGACCTGGATCCTGGCTCTGCAGACCTCCTGTATGAAGAACGTGTTCAGCAGCTGCACAGCAGTTATCAAGTACAGTGCAGGGTAACTAAGTTGGAACTCCTTTACCACCAGCCTTTAGAGGCCGCAGGACCCTGTGCGGCGCCGTGAAACCTGAACTTGTGTGTTTTTGACAGGAACTGCAGGATCGCATCGACGAGCTGCAGGCCGAGCTGCAGGGGCTCCGTGTTCTTGATCGAGCTCATGAGCCCTGTGGCAAAACTTTATCTGACGAGCTGGAGAGTAAAAGCCCCGGCACCGAGTCAGACCCAGGTACGTCTGATACTGACCTGGTTCCTTGACCCAAGCTGGTCCACAGCTGGATCAGGGGGTGTCAGAGTTACCGCTAATGACATCTGGTGAAATTAAAACACTGATATCTTCAGACTCTCAAAACAAAACAACTGGACTGAGGTGGTGGTTCCCCTCTTCAAGAAGGGGGACCGGAGGGTGCGCTCCAGATCAGGACCCGTTGTTATGGGCTGGTCGGTCCCAAAGCGGTGTGAGAGTTTGGTTCTCATGAAGTAGGACTCTGCCAGGACTGCCTGTTGTCACAGATTCTGGGTGGGTGGATAAACCTGTAAAGCCCAGACCCAGCTGTACCGTGTCTGCTTGCAGGTATTGGTTCTGACGAGGTGCAGCCCTTCAGCATGAGCCTGGAAGCTGAGATGATGCTGGAGCAGCTGAAGGAGCAGCATCGGCAGGAAATGGAAGATTTACGAAACCAGCTTGAAAACGAGGTCCGTTTGGAAGAACTCTTGAAAAACTTCATGCGTGTGTGAAGTTCGTCTGTGCGATAATTTTTCTTTGTAGGAAAAACCTTCTCGTCTCTTTCAGATCAGTGAATTTGGTCGGATAGTAGAAAAGCAGAAGACGGCCCACGAAGACCAGAAAGCCGCCTTGATGCTCCAGCACCAGCAGGAGGTCCAGATGTTGAAGGAGAGGGTGGCCAGTCTTCAGAGCCAGCTGCAGCAGGCGGTGGAGGAGCACACCTGTCTGGAGGAGAACCAGGTTGCAGAAAGGGAGGAACAGAAGCAGCGAGAAGAGGAAGTGGGGAACCTCAGACAGCAGCTGCTGGAAGCCCACACCCACATCGCAGACCTGGAGGACCAGCTGAACACCCTGGAAGACCAGCAGGCGGAAACCGATGAAAACTTTCTCACCGAGATGGAGGAGCTGAGGAACCAACATGCCGTGGAGATGAGAAAACTGAAGGAGGAGCGGGCGGACCTGCTGGAGGCCACGCTGGCCGAGAAGAGAAACGAACTGCAAGAACTAAAGACCGAGTTGGAGAGAGAGAAAGACGTCTTGACAGAACGCCATCAGAACGCTCTGAAGGTCCAGCTGGAGGAAGCAAAGCAGAAGTTTGAGGAGGAGCGAGAAGAAACAGTGAAAAGCTTAAACGAGCGGTGGCAGAAGGACCGGGAGGAGGAGAACAATGAGTCTCTGCAGGTGTTGTTGGAGGAGGAGACGCTGAGACTTGTCAGAAAGCAGGAGGAGAAGGAGAAGCAGCTGAGGGAGCAGTGGGAGAGCGAGCGAGCTCAGCTGCAGGAGCATCACGAGGAGGTCCTGCTCCACAGCAGAGCTGAGGAACGGCTGCAGCTGCAGGAGGAGTTCGAGCTGAGGGAGAACAGGCTGAAGGAGAAGCTCGAGCTGGAGAAGGAGCAGAGAGTAGAGATGTTGTTGGAGGAGGAGAGGGCCCTCCTCGAGGAGAACCACCGAGAGGCTGTGAAGGAGCTAATGGAGAAGCACGCCGAGGAGAGGAAGGCACTCGGTGCCGAGTTGACGGATCTGCGACACGACGTGGCCCAGGAGAGGTGAGCCGCTCGGTGTTTTCTTCTTCGTGTGTCAAACCGGCTTCGTTCTCAGAGATGGCTTGAAACTCCAAGGTGGAGTCTCCATCCCTGGTTCTGCTCAACATGGTTTCATCAAACTTGATACAAATTGTACCACCACACTGCGTTGAATGACCATCTCCAAGGTCAAGGTCAAGGTCACAAATCGAGTTAATGTAAACCAGCTTTGCTGCAGAACAGTTGCAGATCTTGTATAAGAGGAAAATCTTTAATTATGGTTTCAGTTGTGCTGGGCAGAAATACCTGCACGCGGCGTACCGTACTTTACGCTCCATAAGCCGCTACTTTTTTCACAGGTTTTGAACCCCGCGGCTAATTTATGGAATTATTTTATTTTATATTTTGGATTGGCTAACGAGCTTCCTGCCGCCAAAAACATTTAGCTTCGTCACACCCAGGTGCTCGCATAGCTGCCTGATACTCGTCTCTCTTGGGGGGTGAGTCCTCGTGACACAGAGTGAACCCCTCAGGTCGTCATGACAACCACCTCCCTCACTCATGGCTTCTACTGAATGTCCGAACACAAACCAACACATAACGAACATAAACTAAGATCAATGCTAAACCACTAACTGAAATGATTAACGATGAACATACATTTTACCCATAATCCCTCCCTGAGGCCATGTGACCGGCAGTCAACCACAATGAACCACAGAATGCTACAGTACGTACCGGTAACATACAAATACGTACAGTTAATGTTTTTTCTGAACGGTGCCGGTAACATGGCTGGTAAAAAAAAACGTAGTCTACCAGGAAGTCATTGCTCACCATCTTCCTCCTGCTACAAGCTTGTGCTCCGGAGCAAAATTGCTCTGTGAGCATGTGAGGCTCTCATGCTCTGAGAGTCAGATTTTTTTAACCGTTATTTAAACAGGTAGTCTCATCAAGACACGTCTCTCTTGGGGGCGGGTCCTCGCGACTCGATGAGATGACCTCATTGGCTCATTGTGGTTGACTGCTGGTCACATGGCCTCAGAGAGGCATTATGGGTAAAATTTATGTTCATTGTTAATCATTGTTGATGTTCAGTGCCCTGAGATAATAAACTTGATAATAATAATAATAAACTTTATTTCTATAGCGCCTTGCATTGACCACGGTGCTTTTACAAGATAAACCAAATAAAAACGGGACACAATAAATCTGTGTATATTAAAAACACAGCCAGAATAAAAGAAGATAAAAGATAAAAAAAAAAATACCAAAAGTTAAACGTTAAAAGTCTTTTAAATAAGTATGTTTTCAGTTTGGCTTTGACCAGAACCAGGTCAGAGATGGCACATGGGGAAGAGTATTCCAGGCTGTTGGGCCTGCAACAGAAAAGAACCAGTCCTCCCCCATTGTTTGCACCTTGAGCAAGGCACCTCCAGCAGATATTTACCTGCAGACCGGGTGTGACGAGACCAAATGTTTTAGGCGGCAGGAAGCTCATTAGCCCGTCAAAAAACAAACCATCCATCTATAAATTAGCCGCAGCATTGTGTAAAAGGTTCAAAATGTGTGGGGAAAGTAGCGGCTTATAAACCAGAAATTAACTTTATATTGTGATACATCAGTTTTTCATCTAGTCAAACATATAAAGTGCCTTTCTTGTGTCTTTAACACAAAGTGCTTTACGTCCGGTAAAACTGTTTATAGATGCTCAACTGCTGCTGTAACGAACGTTGATCACGTACAGGAGGGAAGTTGAGGTCTGCTTCATCCAGAGGATCAGAGAAGTGGAAGATCGTTTCTCAGACGATCAGGAGTCGGCTGCAAAACGCTTTCAAGCCCGTGTGTCCAAAGTTGAAGAGGTGTACCAGCGTGAGCTGACTGCTCTCTCTGAAAGCCTCGCGGTGCAGAAGCTCCACCGGGAGGCAGAGATGCAGACGGCTCTGGAGAGAGCCGAGGAGCAGAGGAAGGCCGTGGAGAACTTGGAGCAGGAGAAGGAAAGATTGCGTCAAGAGTGGGAACTGGAACGTCAGGAGTTGAAACGTATTCACGGTGAGGAAACGGACCTGCTGAAGGTGGAGTTCAAGCACCTTCAAAAGGAACTGGAGGACGTGATGAGCAAGGCCCAGAGAAAAGAAATCAAGCTCAGCATGCAGCTGAATGAGCTCCATCACAGGCTCCAGGAGCAACACCAGCTCCTGGCTCAGTCCGAGAGCAGAGCGCATGACATGGAGCTCCTGCTGAACCGAGCTGTGGAGGCAAAATCCCACGAAACGCTTTCCATTTCTGAGGAGGAGGACCTGCGAGATGTTCCAACCGTTAACGCAGCGCCAGGACTTGGTGAAGGTGGAAGACGAGCTGCAGGAGGACGTGTCCATTCTCGACAGAAGGTTAGGAGACGACCAAGAGGTCGACCAGAAGGAGCTCCAGATGGAACTGGATCCATTTTTCTGTTTTGTAGAGAAAGAACCGAACGACATAAATGTGTTTAAAAAGGAGAACCCTGACACTAAAACACGTAGTTCTTCCTCCGGTGAAGAAACTTCTCGTGTCTTGGATGGACAAGATGATGATGCAGCAGACAAAATGAATGTTGATGAAGACAATGGTGAAGATGGCTTTGTTGCTGATCCTGATGAAGGTTGGGTAGAAGATGCTGTAGACCAGGAGCAGGAGGATGCAGGACAGGACTCGCAGCTCAGGAACTACAGGGTTTATGGTGAGGAACATGACCATGAGAAGGGTGTTCCTGATCTCAGGCTGGAAGATCCAAACCCTGAGCGAGGTGATCTCCATCCTGAGCGAGGTGATCTCCATCCTGAGGGCTTCAAATGGACTTCAGAACCTCCCAAAAGGCATTTAAATGAAACCCAAGCAGAAGAAATGCATGGTGAGGCCGCCTCATCGCTTCAGATGTTTGATGATTCATGCAGTGAAGAGACCAGACCGTGGGTCCACTGTGAGGAAGAACTGCATCTTGGGACTGTGGTTTCCACCACAGAGGAGATGAGCGACCCTGCAGGACAGTCTGATCCTTGTAGTAGACAGGAAGATGAACTAGACGGAGCAGAAACACCAGACAAAGACTGTGACTGTGAGAACCAGGAGTCCATTATCCTGAAGTTACAGACTCTGAGCTCCAACGCGTCGGAGGAGAACGTTCTCCTTCACAAGAAGATTTCTTTGCTTCAGCAGAAGACCGAAGTGATGGAGAACCTTCTGGCACATCACAACACAAAGCTCCGAACCAGCCGTCAGGCTTTGGAGGAAAACTACAACCTCAAAGTTCACCTGCTTGTTTTAACGGAGCGCGTGAACGAGCTGCAGAGGAGCGACTTACAACGGACTCGTCTTCAGATGCAGTTTGAGGACCGCACGAGTGAGAACTCCAACCTGAAGGAGCAAATGGGCGAGCTGGAGAAGAAGGGGTTTGATTTCCAGGATCAGCCAGACTCGCTTGTGGACGAGATCAGCAGAACGAGAGCAGAGAACGCTCGGCTGTTGGAGCTGTGGAGTCAACTGGGAGGGCGGGACGAGCGTCCAGCCTTGCTCTCTGGTTCTGGAGAAGTGGGGCGCCCCGCGGACGAGGCTCTGCCCCCGAGCCGCCGGCTGCAGGCCGAGGTCTGCTGTAAGGAGTTCGAAGAGCAGAACGCCAAACTTCGCCGAGCCATTTCAGAGCTGCAGGACGAGTCCGAGGCGTCGCTTGAAACGACTCGAGCTCGTAGGTAATGTGGAGGAACCCGGGATCCTGAGCCTGCAGGGGCCTCTGCGACCCCTCCGTAGAGGTTTGGTGTTAGGAGCACCCTCTTCTAGTCCCTGTTCACGATGTGTTGATGGTTCCTGCTTGTCGTCATCCCATGAAAACAGTCTGCGCTCAGCCAAAGGCCTTTCTGACGTAGCAGCTTTGATCCCTTCATCTCAGTGTTTGAATTAGTTGAATCCAATCAACAGAGCATCTCACTGGGCTCCGCTGTCGGAGGCTAGACTCAACATTCACTGAAGGCTGAGTGTTTGCAACCAACGGACCGTGGAAGAGTTTTCAAAGACGATTAAAAAAAATATTACTGCCCAACTCCGCCCACATCGTACCTGCCGCAGCCCGTTATGTACCCATCTTAGCAGCTGCCACAGCATTTATGATTTTATCTGTTCGAGTACATCCTGATGCTGCTCAATAAAGAAAATAAAAATTAAAACCTTGTTGAAACGTTTTTATCCAAAGGACTTCTTCAGTCTGAAGAGCTGCAACAGACTCAGTCTTATAAACAGCACCTTCTCATGGTGGATCAACCAGTTTGTTGTTGACATCCAGAACCAGCTGTTCACATGATCAAGAAGGACCATCAGCCTAACAATGGATCATTAGCACCTGATGGCTGTTTACTGTTCACAGAGGGCTGAGTGATACTAGCAATCACAGCATTGTAAGAGGGGGACAGTTGAACACGGAGGCTCCGCCCCTGTTTAATGATGGACGGGTTCTTTTCACAAAGATGGCCTCCTTTACTCCTCTCTCAAACCATCGTTCCTCTCTATCCAGGATGTGAACATCTTCATCCCTGAAAGAGTGACCTCTGACCTGGAGATGAGTGTAGACCTCAGAGTCCTGGCCTGAAGACGTTGATCTTCTGTGCTGGTCCATTCTTTTGTCCACTGTGGTCAAGTCACATTTTGTCCTCCTCTTACAATGATGACGATCCATCGTTAGGCTGATGGTCCTTGATCATGTGAACAGCTGGTTCTGGATGTCAACAACAAACTGGTTGATCCACGATGAGAAGGTGATATTTATAAGACTGAGTTTGTTGCAGCTCTTCAGACTGAAGAAGTCCTTTGGATAAAAGACGACACGTTTCAACAAGAAGAATCTGTCCAAAAGGCATGTCTTAACTTTGTCAGATATTCAGGTGACGACACTGGAAGCCTCTGTGGCTCGAGCAAAAAGAACGAGCAGCGTTTCCAGCGGTCCCAGTGAGATGCTCCCTGTAGTCTCAGGTTTGACGTGTGAACGTGCACTCACAAATCGGTTTGTGCTTGTTCCAGATCTGCAGCCAGCTGTCTAGCTGAAGAAAACGCCGCCCTCAGGAAAACCATTGCTGCGCTGAAGGAAGGAGACTTCAAGAAGTTCCAGGAGGAGTTGACGTAAGCAGCATGTGTTGTGGTTTCCACTTCTTCGTCCCTTTTCTTTGTTTTACACCAACTTATCTTGTTGTAGACGAACGTTGGAGGACTTGAGAAACGAGAAGTTTGTGGCTCAGCAAGCGGCAGACGACTTAAAAAAACAGGTAACGGCAGAGGAGAGCAGGATTTGTTCTTTAGAAGCAGCTGCTGAGCTTTTTGTCTCTGCAGATTTCAGAGTTGAGTTTTCAGAGCCACAGTCTGGAGGACGAGAACGAGATGCTGACGGAGAAGAACGCCCAGAACGCTGCCGGCATGGAGAGCATGCGACAGCAGCTGCTGGAGCTGCTCAAGGAAACCCAGAAGAGGGAGGTGGACCGCGCTGCAGACAGGAAGAAGGTGCGGGTCGTGGACGACGGGTTGTCTTGCTGTGGTGGTTTTAGCTGGTAGATGATCGGTGGTTGTTTTGTGTTAGATGGCAGCGTGTGTGTCTGCTCTGGAGGCACAGTTAACCAAAGCTTTGGAGGACACTGCACAGCTGGAGAAGAGGAACGTCCAGCTGTCACAGCAGCTCTCTGAGCTCAGGGAGAAGGTGGGTACCATGGACTCTGTCGGATGAGGTGGATTCACATCAGAGGTCCACTTAAAGCTTCATGAATGCAGAGATGTTGTGACACAAGATGGGGCCCACAGAGGACCTCGAGGAACACGGTGGACTTTCTCCAAATCCACAAAACATGTAGACTGGATGGGCCAACTACTATGACCCATCCAGGACCAGCAGAGTCCTGTCTGGTCCCTCCAGGACCAGCAGAGTCCCGTCTGTTTTAAAAGTAACTTCCGACACTGATTCATAAGGAAGTCCTTGTCTAAGGTTTTCCCGCTCTTTCTGCAGCTATGTCCTGAGAAGAAGAGTTAGTTTTTTATGCATTTGTGTAAAATAAAACGGACCCATGAAGAGTTCACACGGTGGTTTGTTGACTTTAAATCAAAAAGAATAATGTTTGAACCGTTCATTAATTTAAGTTTAAATAAAGTCTGTTCTCGTCTCTGAGCTTCATGAAGGACCCGTCTAATGTCTGAGGAGACTCCATCAGGTCTAATGTCTGAGGAGACT